TGGTGTGTTTCTCCTGGCTAACACCTTTATGCATTTTTGCCATTAATATCCTGCTAACAACAAGACTCAAGTTATGTGGTATAAAGATTCAGAGAGTCTTATGTCTAAACTGGTTAATTATTAAACTTGCTTGTCCTGCAGACAAAACCTTTCCAAATAACATCATACCATATGCAATACTTGTCATTTATCTGTCTCATTGGCTTTTCATAATTTGGACTTACATGCATCTTATTAAAACATGTGCGAGGTCCAGAGATGACAGGTTAAAGTTTATGCAGACCTGTGTACCCCACCTGACCTCTTTGATCATATTTCTTATTGTAATGGCTATTGATCCAGTGTACATGGAATTTGGCTCCAGAGATTTGTCTCAAACCCTTCAAAATCTTTTTTCCATCAAATTTCTTATCATCCCTCCAGTTATGAACCCTCTCATTTATGGATTCAAAATCACCAAAATACGAAACAGGATTTTGGGTTTAGTTTGTTTTAAAAGACAACAAATCTCGTTAATGTTCATGTTTGTTATTCACAAATAAATCAGATGAACTCTGGAAAATGTGCATTACTGTCTTAGACCTGATAAAATGCTCCACTCTGACTTTATCTTGTGATATACAAGATAAAGTAAGAGTGGAGCATCTTACAGTTTATTTATTTCTACATGTATCAGTGAATATATGGAACAGAGACTTATTAAATTTCTATTAACTTCCAGTTCACTTGATCCAGTTTCGTTTTTATAAAGGCTTAGGTTTAGTTTGAGTGTTAGTTCCTTTGTTAATTTTTGTGTTATAATGATGTGTTTTGGTGTCTGTGAAGGGGAAAATGTGAAAAAATAGATGCATGATTACAAATGTTGACAACACAATCTCAGTAAATAACACTATTTCTCACAAATTTGACCAAACTGTTGAAAATTTGAAGACATTTTATGTATATTTTCATATTTAAGGGAAACTAAAATGTATTTTCACATCTAGTTTCAGTTTACTATGACATGGATATATGTACACTTCACAAATAGTTTCTCAAGTTAAGGTTTCCTCTGTGTTTCAGGCAGTAAAGCTGAACCGAAGGTCACCATACAAAACATAAAAGATAAATAGTAAAAAGGATTTTAAAACTAAATAGAATTAGACAAGCAGTAAAGAGAATAAAATAACAACATTAGACAACAATTGGAGTCAATTTTTAAAGAGAGGAAGCGAGTTTAAAAAGATGGCTTTTAAATTTTGGATTGAAAGCTCTGTTCCTCATAGTGGTGAGTGCTGTATAGAGGAAAGAAGTAGAAAGTACAATATCAGTTTTAAAGTTCAAAAAATAATTTAGAGGTAGAGAGAATAAAACCTGACTGCTTTATACATTTGGAGTTTAAGCAATTTGAACACATCTTTAAAACTTTCTTCTCTCAAAAGAGGGTGCTGTTAAAGAAAAATATAGACCAGCAAGTAATAAATACACAGAAACTATGTTTTTTTGCCTTGACACCACAGACTGCCTAGCACAGAATTCTAGACTCATAAATAAGGAGTCTCTGTGACGCCCCACTCTCTCTCATGCATCTTTTTATATTACTTTTTTTTTTTTAACAAACAACTGTATACAATAATTTGTAGTGGTCTTTAAAAGAGCTAAAAATGGACCGTTTATATATAAAATTCAATAGAAATATATGATATGTCCATAAATCTGCACAGTTTTCATCTGTTATTTTTCAACATGTTATAGTGTACATTTATTTTTGGGTTAGAAGAGTTTCACTTTGAGTATCAAACTTAAGAGCGATTTATTTATTTATGTATTTATTTTAGTATTCAGAGAGTCTTATGTCTAAACTGGTTAATTGTTAAACTTGCTTGTCCTGAAGCTGACACCTTTTCAAACAACATCAGTTCATATGTAACATTTATCTTCTATGTGTCTCATGGCTTTTTCATAATGTGGACTTACACCCATCTTATTAAAA